ATATATAATATATATATATATATAAAGCTAATATTATCTATATACCAAGCTAATAGTTTGGTAGCTTTTCAGACATAACATATTTCAATGGAGACTGTTTTTCCAAACATAACTTTACCTTGCTTGAAACACCCTTCCAAACGCTCCCTCTCCAATGTCTCTCACATATTCAATGTTATTTCTTGGATACTCCAGGCTGAGCAATTTGGGGTTCAGAAGGAGCGGCATCCTCTGGTACATGGGGTTGGGATGAAGTCTATCTAGTAAGAGCTCAGAAGGCAGTGTGGTGAGGGTTACTGCTGCTGATTCTCTGCAGGCAAGACAGGCAAGATCAGGAATGAGCTCAGAAGTAGGTACGATCTTTGTACTTAGACTTAGATTCTAAGAAATATGGCATTTAAGAATAATGAAAACAAATTATACTTAGGCAGCCAAAGATCCTTTGGTTTGAGAGCAATAAAATATTTTGTTTGGTCTAGAGTCAAAAGGCACATTTTCTCAGAAATGTTTAGCTCTCCAAGCCAGCAATGGCAATGGGCCTGAGAGAGAAGACAAGGAGCAGGAATAGCCATTTTCCTCCAAATTATTGTTTAGATTTTACCTTTTGTGAAACAGTAACCCTAGGGCATTTGATTTGATCCTATGCCAAAAAGTCATTGACATTTGTAAAGATCGTGATGGGGGTGCTTAATTTTAAAGCAGGGCTACGGATATATTTAGAGAGTTGCAGTGTCATATATATTCCTCGCGTCATACCAACTCCATATTAAACATGAGGTTTTAAAATATTACTACACGTGGTTAGCTGAAACTAGAATCTCACCTTTTCTTATTTTTCCACTGTTTTCTTCTTCGGCAGCAATAGAGAGTAGTTATGGTAAGAAGCGCAAATATTGCAAAGCTGGACATGATGGAGATTATTACAGTCATGGAGTATGTAGGTGAGACAGAGAAGGAAGAAGAGGAGGAGGAAGGCAAATTTGGAATGTCCACACTTGGCTTTGAGGATGTCATTGGTGGGAATGCTGTAAGTAAACAATAATTATTCATTTTCAAACCTTTAAGAAGCAACTTTTTTTTTTTGTATTTAAGCAATCAGTAAAATAAATTTCATGTTAAGAATATATTTATGTATCAGGTTCTCCCTGGTTATATATCTATAAAGTTCAGTAAGGTCTAGTTGTAAGTAAATCCAGCTTGTAGAATAATAGAATTTTAAAGATGAGAGTCAGAGAGAGGAAATAGGTTTTTGTTTTTTTTTTTTCCCTGAGCTAAATGCAGATCTTGGTCTGGTGCCATTTATACTGAATCATGTTATCTATGACCTGACATAAATCATGGAAATTATCAAATAAAATATTTTCATATAATTACACTTGACATCAGGATTGTCTAGAGCTGGACTTTTATACACATTTACTGTCAGTTTACAAACAGAAGAAAAAATCATGAAAGAAGATGAAAAATGAAAATATTAGGACACAAATGAGAAAAAGTTCATGTAAAAACTGAACTCCTGTCAAACTTCAATTTAAAAGTCCAATGTCATATATATATAAGTAAAATCAGCATTACTCTTGGAAAACAAAAGATGCCATACTCATACCACTATTTGTAGAGTACAAAGTCCATTGTATATGTATTAAAAGAACCTTATTAATCACATTTTAAATCCTTTTAATAGATTGAGTAAAGACAAATACGGGGATACAGAGTATTTTAAAATAATCAACAACAATGTTTTAATAGCTAAGAATGACCTTTGTACCCCAAAATAGGGAATAAACCTTCTTTTCAAATATTTGTGGATTAATCTCAATAAATTTTAAAAGCAGAAATTATGCATATCTACTTAATGGCCAAAGTGCAATTAATAATAGATTAAATAAAACCCAATGGGACATTTTTAAAAAAGAAAAAATCAATGATCTTTTTATCAAAAAATAGAGAGTAACCATAGTTACAGATTAGACACAAGCCTCTTAAGAGTGTGTATTTTATTTAGCCAAAGTTATGCTCAAAGATAAAGTCATAGTGTTATCTCCTTTCACTCGATAAAAAGAATGAAAGTGAATGAACTGAACATTTAACCCAAGACTTTGGGTAAGAAACAATAACTACAGAAAACAAAAGATAATAGGTAATAAAGTAACAGCCATACACAAGCAGAAATTAATAAGTTAGAATACACATAACACAAATGATAAAATTAAAAGATCAATAGTTGGTTTTATAAATATTCATATAGTTGTCTAATCAATGGAATTTTAATTAAAAAGATAGAAAGGGTACAAACATAGAAAATTAGAAATGATAAAAAAGTTATAACAGATTCAAAGTTAATTAAAATATGTAATTATATATTTCACACCTTAAAGAAAATGATAGGAACATATTAATCACCAAATTTGAAGCATTAGAAAATATAAATATTGCCATAGGCAGGAAGCTAGATTTTTAAGTCATCACATTATAAAAGACATTATTTTAGTCTTGAAAGAGATAAAATTTCCATATTTATAATATGTTCCAGTAAGAGAAAAGTCTTTCAAATTATTTTGAAATTATTATAATACTAATAGCACAACCTGGCAATGTTAGCACAGAAGAGTGCATATATAGATTATACAACCTAGGTTTAGAAGATCCTAAATGGAATGTTAGCAACTGACTACATTATAGTCAGAGAATAATGATTTAATATAAGGGGATATATTAATATAACATATTACAAAGTCAAAATAAAACCTTTATGGCAGTAGATGCCTAAAGCCATTTGAAATAGGACACTTGCAAAATTGGAGGTTACAAGAGACTCCCCATGTATGACTTAGTCTGGAAGTAGACCCAGTGATAATGCCTTCCGTACCAATGGCTAAGCAAGTGATGGTCACCACTGTGACTCAGGCAGGCACCTGGAACTGGAAGAACATCAGCACAGCAGTAAAACATCTGTGCAAGACCAGTGACAGCATGCCTCATCCAGCACCACAGGAGTGGTGGACTGTACAGACTGACTAGGATCCTCTCTGACCGACTTGAAAGCTAGTCTTATTCTCTTTGGAATGAGTCATCCCAAGTTTTCTTGATCTAAGATGGGTGGGTGGGTGGGGGGCTTAAATTGAAGAGCTTTGCTTTCTGCTAATAATAAAGTTGGAACAATTATTAAAAGATAGGGAGAAACAACTATTTTTGTGTTTGGAGTTTACAGAGCCGCTCACACCATATATAACGCATGAGGGAATATAATGTAATTGATAAAATTGGTAGTGTAATTTCATTGGTAAATATAAGGTTAATTTTTCTAAGAAGAATCAGAAAGTAGAATTTAATGTCATTTTAAAAAGAAAAATCTATGATGATTTAGTGAGTTTTTTTAATGCAAGAAATGACATAGTTGGAACAATACTTTTGCTTTATGGATTTAAATGTTTCTTTCCTTCAAGATAGTTTTGTTTTGTTACTCCTTGATGACTGCTTCTGATTTGATCTGATCTTCCCTTGAACTACATTAATGAGCTCTTTGGATCTAAACGATCACTTTGAATCTTCATTCTTTTTCCTTTTTATCTTTTCTCTTCTCTCACCAATTTTCTCTCTTTATTCTTCCTCTGAACACTACAGGAGTTTATGCACTCATTCATCCATGTGTAAATGCATTTGCTAAATCAATATTGACTGTTAGGTATCCAGAAAACTGTGGTGAACATGACAAGCCTTTGCTTGTCATGAGACACAAGTGAGTAAATGGAGAAATAAAACAAAATATAAGAAGCATTATAAGAGTAGTAAGAACATGATGCTTATGAATGTTCAGGGCTGGCACTAACTCAGGTTTAGACATACTGGGGAGGTTTTCTAGAGTGAATAACTGTAAGTTAAATATAAATGGTGAGTAGCCAGTAACCAATTGAAGGTTATGATGATCTGAGACTTTGTGTCTTTCCCCCAAATTCATATGTTGAAATGAATAAGGATAGAGTCCTGATGAATAGGATTAATGCCCTTACAAAAGAGGTCCAAGAAAGCTCCCTGGCCCCTTCTGCCACATGAGAACACAGGGAGAAGACACCTATGTCTATGAGGAATGGGTCCTCACCAGATATCAAATCTGCTGGCGCCTTCATCTTGGACTTCCTGGACTCCAGAACTGTGAGAAACAAATTTCTGTGGTATAAGCCACCCAGTCTGTGGCATTTTGTTATAGCAACCTGAACACACTAAGAAAAAGGTGAGGGCCGGGCGCGGTTTCTCACGCCTGTAATCCCAGCACTTTGGGAGGTCAAGGCGGGCGGATCACGAGGTCAGGAGATTGAGACCATCCTGGCTAACACGGTGAAACCTCGTCTCTATTAAAATACAAAAAATTAGCCAGGCATAGTGGCGGGCGCCTGTAGACCCAGCTACTTGGGAGGCTGAGGCGGGAGAATGGCGTGAACCCGGGAGGTGGAGCTTGCAGTGAGCCGAGATCGCGCCACTGCACTCCAGCCTGGGCGACAGAGCGAGACTCCGTCTCAAAAAAAAAAAACAAAAACAAAAAACAAACAAACAAACAAAACAAAACAAAAAAAACGGTGTGTGTGGGATGGGGGAATTAAGGGAGTAAAATGGAGTCAGGGTGGAGGGACAGTATTCTACAAAGAAGGAGTAGCATATACCAAGATCTGAACTAAGCAGATGTGATACCTTGCTAAAAGTGTACCTATAAGTTTCATTGTTGGAGTTGGGGAGTATCTACAGGTAAGGCTGCAGATACCAGATTTAGTGAGAAAAGTCCTTGTATACCGATTTAAGTAATTTGAACTATGCCATGCAGCAAATGGAGGGTCTCATAGGAGTGTTTTAAGAGGTGGAATAGCATAATCAACTTTTTGCATTAGAAAGATCTGTCTGCCATCCTGATTTCCATGGGATAAAGATTCCCCTCATAGCTTATGTCAAGCTCCCAACGTGAAGCCCTGATCATGGAGTTGGAAAGAGATGTTCAATAGCACATCATTAAACAGGATTTTCATCATACAGATATCACGGATAAAGAGAAAAAGCTAAAAGTTTCTACCTAGAAAGAATAAATTACTTACAGGAAAACAATAAACAAAATTCACACCGGACTACCTGCTTCCAACACTAGAAGCTAGAAAAGAGTGAAATCACATCTATAAACCACCCAGAGAAATGTCACTCAGGAGTTCCATTCCCAGCTAATACACCTTTCAACTACCCAAATAAAAGAAAACAATTTGATAATATACAAGGCTTCAGGGATTCTGTCTCCCAAGACACTTTCCCTTCTGAGGAAATACATGAGGTGACTCTTAATAACAATTGAATCAGAAAGTGACTTCAATATAAATGTAAATGGGCTGCGATGGGTGGAGTCTTGGCTAATTCACTAGATAAGACTCAATATTGAGAATCACTCTGCAAAGAAAAACCTAAGAGTACTAGGGGAGGTAAAGAAGAAGATCTGAGCATTCTGAGGATCTCATTGGAGGTTCTGAAAGTCCCATGGGGTGGGCAGAAATAAGGAATAAAGAGCACTGCAATGTGTAGAAAGAATTGTGGTCTGACTTTCACTTAGCAGTGGAGAAAATATAACCAGTAACAAGTAAAGAAAAGGAAAAAGAAGAAGCAAAAACATAAAGTGACTAGAAAATGTACAGTTAAGATAGTAGGGATAAAATAGAGTATATCAGTTGTTATATAAAATATGAACAGGCTAAATCCTCCTATTAATAGAAAATAGCTATCAGACTGGAGTAAACCCAGGTATATGTTGTTTATAAGAAAAGAAAAATGAAAGAGGAACAAAGAGGTTCTAGGTTAATGTAAATACAAGGAAAAAATAACCATTATTAATACTAGAAATTTAAAGCTAAAAGCACTAAAACAAGATGAGAGTGACATTTTACATTGATAAAAGGTTTCATATAAGAAGAAAAGTGTCTTGGATCACCATGCCTCATAGAACATAGTACATAGAACACAGAACATATAAATTACAAATTATTATAAATGCTAGAAGAATGTAATAAAAATAATTATGAATTAGATTGGTCTAATAGAAAATGTATTAGAAAATCAATGAAATCAGTAAACTCATATGTGTACAGAAGGGCTATTAATGTCATGAGATTATTAGCCAGCTAGCATGAGTTTATACTCATGAAAGAACAAGGCCTTGTCACAGAAAATATGGTTGCATTGAAATTCTAATCAGATCATGCTCTGTGCATTGTGTTCTATTCTGGATATTCTCAGGCTTGTGTGCAGCCAGTAAAGAGTAAACATGGAGGTGAAGATTTTGGAAGTCAGTTGCAAAAGAAAAATTTGAAAATTGGAGATATTTAATGTGAATAAGAGAAGACTACAGAGAGATTGAGTGCCTGTCTCCAAATATTTCAAGGACTGTCATATAGAATATAAATAAATCAAAGAAACAGAGTGAAGATCAGTTGTTGAAAGTTCTAGAGAACCAGAATTTAGTTCTACATAGCTAAATTGTTCAAATAATGTATTCTACAAAGGAATTAAGAAATAAATTCAGGAGGGAAAAGGGAATGTTTCTGTCAGAGATGCTCTAGAAAAGATTCTTTCATTGTGGGAGAATTTGGATAAAATACCTGTTAAAGTTACTTTAAACTCCAATTTTCTATGAACGTGTAACTTTAATATTACCACAAAATTACCCAAACTACATTTCAATTATGAAATAATGCATGAGTTTTACACACACACACATGCACACGAACACACACACAGAGAGACACTGACATTTTATGATTTCATTTGTGGGCAAAATGGTAGCTGATCATTATGGAAAAACGGTCTGGGACACAAAGCATGTATTCATTTGAACGTTAACAAAAAGTCAAATCATCACATGGCCTGGGTGATTTAAAATTGTAAACAATACAATTTTTATGAATTGGACCTTCTTAAGAATAATCAATTAAAACAAATGTAAAAAGGTAGTGGTATTTATTCAAGAATGAACCAGTTAAACAATCAGTTAAGCTTTATTACACATGAGGTTTTAGAATTTTTAAAAAAATGTTAGTAATAACAGAAAGGCATGAGGTATAACATTCTGGCTCTGAAGACAGAGCCAGAATCAGATTGATTTGAGTTCAAATTCTGGCTTATCACCTTACTAGATGGATAAAATTGGACACATTGCTTAATCTCTCTTTCTCATGTTGGGTTGTATGTAAAATGGAGGACATTCATAGTACTTAATTTTGTAGAACTATTGGGAGTATTAGGAGAGATAATGTATGTATCACATAATCAGTTTGGATTTGGGTACATTCATTGGGTCCTTCATTCTCCATGTATATGTATAGAAAGAGCAAAGATGGAAGGAAAAAGAATTCAAGAGAATAGCAAGTCATTATTTCAGTGATTAAGACAGATTATCCTTTTTTCCACAGAAGCTCTGAAATAGAAGACAGATTCACTGCTGAGTGTTTCTGTAGTAAAGTATGTGAAGTCTCACGGAAGAGCTGAATAGTGTAATCCTTGCTTAGCAGACAAATAACGTAACTAGCACAAAGGCATTGCTTGCTCAAAAAGATATTTCACTTCAGCCAAAGAAATTATAAAAAAGGAAAACTACTGAAATTCTAGTCCCTGTGCTCAAGGAAGAAGAAAATAATACAAAGATAAACAAATGATTAACAGCTCTTTTGTGACCCCCTCCAAATGAGCTAGTGATATTCTTTAGAGTTTACTCAGAAATCAAGACACTCTTTGGAAAATATTTGAAGTCTTTACACGCTCCTATAAAATATGGGACACTGCCTAATAAGGATGTTTTCTTTGCTTCACTATTAACCTGCTAAAGCCAACTCTTTTAATAATAATTGCCTTTAACTCAGGGAGCATATTTTCAGACATTCCCTACCCTATTTTCCATTTAAATGGTCAGTTCATGACATTAGGAGCTCATTTTCTTACATGTATCAAAGATTTCATAAAGCTTTTTTTTAAAGACTAGAAAATGTATTATTGTAGCTAGTTTGCGCTGCTCAAAATTCCTTTATAATTAGTGTGAAAGGCAAAAATGTGGATGATTTTTGTGTATTGTTCCTGTCTAATTTAAGATGAATGGTCTGGTCCTTCCACACAGTAAACCCTCCATGAATGTTTGAATGGATGACTGAGTAAACAATTGATGGATAACAAAGAGCACAGTAATCAATTCAAAGTCCAATCAAAGTAAACTTTGGCTGCTCATATAACAAAGAATTGAAATTTTTTTTTTATTCCTTCAATTTGGGAATAACAATTTGACAGGCTACCAGAATAAGAGATTTTTAAGGTTTCCATAACTCTTCTTGTTTAATAACTCTGAGTGATTCAACTAGGAACAGTAGCATTCTTTCTTTTAATACTTTAAGTGTTGGTCCGTTAAACAAGCTGGTAAAAATCAAGTCCTGGCACCTAGCCAAGTGCAGAGGGGGTTAGGGCTGGAATATGTATTATAGGAAGTAAGTGTGATTTAAGCCTTAGAACATGAGACCAGAGGAAGTTAATTGACATGAAAAGTTTTTCTAATTTCATCCTGAGGATTTCTGCATTCTGACAGGTTAAAGCACTATCTGATACAAGTTATTTTGTAGGACATCCCTTTTCAAGCTACCTTCTTGAATTATTTCCTAGAGATTTTTGTGATGACCTTTTTAGAGCCATTTGATTTGATCCTATAGACTTTATACTGGAAATCAGCTGTCTTAAAAAATACCTAACTTTCAAAAGAGGGATCTGTTGTCACAAATGAAGATCACGAATTGGCTCAAGGAAGCAATAAATGTTGGGTTTCATCTATACATAGATTGATTATACCAAATCAAGAATATAAAATCAAAAGGTGACTTTTTAAATTTGGCTTGCTTTACAGACATATAAGAAATAAAACAGGCTAATGACCTGGAGGTGGGAGATAGTATTTGTATGATTCACTAAATATGGTACTCTCTACGGTCTAATTAAAAGTTACAAACTGAGACCTTCCATGACCTTCTCTCATGTTCTACACTGGATGAGTATGGTGAGAAGCCTTTGAGAGGGGCTGTACATTCTGTTCTGGGCATCAGGAAATATGAGTGTAAACACACATGCATGAATCCAATTACATACACATAAGGTTTCAAGGGCACAAACACAATTACTTACTTTTTGGGTTTTCTTTGTTATAATCTGAAGGGGAAAGGATAAAAATTTGTTTTAAGTGAGTATCCAGATATCTCACATATTCTGTGAGAGAGTGCTAGGAAATGCAAGATCTCTTTCGGCTTTTTAATATACAACTGGAAAACATTCTTTGCATTCGAATGTGAAAGAATTGGGTCTTTGAAATTATACCAGCTGTTAGGGATAACAATATAGTTCCTTACAAACAGAGTTCATTAAAGCAACATGAAGCAATTCAGTTTTGTTTTGTGAGATCAGCATTTTCAAACATGTGTCTTATTTTAGCATGCTTTCTTGGCTAAGAAAAAGGACTTTATTCCTTTATTCCACTCTTCTGACAAAATATGAGATGCTTCTTAGCCATTTTTCTGCACATTCCAGAAAATGTTACAAGCTCTCATAAGATTCCCTATGAAAGAATCTAAAATGTCAAGCAGTAATTAAAAGTGCTGTTTCGTTTATTTTAGAGCAAATGAAATAAATCTTTATCCTAATCTGTGCAATTAGGATAGCATTAGGATTCCACTAGTAGGTATCTAAGGAAGGCAGAACTAAAAAAAAAAAAAAAATTAGAAATGCCTAGAAATGTTAGAAGCTTTAAGTTCACACCTTAGTTTCTTCAAAATAGTAAATTTTTCTTAACCTACAAAGTCTTGGGAGAACTCTTTGTTACCTAAATGTGGCAGTCTGGCACAGGCTGTAGGGTCCCAGTGCATGCTGGGAAGCTTGCTGCATTCTGGCACCGACAGCAACTGCATCTCAGATCTGTAGAGTCCTCTGTGGGTCTTCTCTTCCATTGCCAGCCATTCTTTTGCACAGAAGAGCTCCTTTACTGCCAAGCAGTACTCTCTAAAATAGTATATGGAGAACAAAACTTGATGAATCATAACATGTGAAAGCAAATTTGTGGCAGAGCCTAAATTCTGTGTTTTCAAGACATCATCATAGTAAATTGTCTGTTCTTGAAAAGCTTTTATGAAAGAAACTTTTTACTGCAAATAATATGAGATTTCATGAAATCTAGTGTACTGTCCCATGAGATGAAATGCTCTCTCGTTTTGTTGTGAAATACAATTAATGTTAGTCTAGGGGAAAAAACGTCAAATTTAAAATGTGTTAGTTTGGGAATCTCTGATATGTCTTCTCCCAACTCTATATTCAAATAACAACACAGGTAGAGAAATAAGGTATACAGATTTAAAAACACACCTACTGAAAGTCAGGATCATTGTCAATCAGTTTCCAGCTTGGAAGATTTTTCTACGATCTTGGGGCTAATGGGCAGGGCTTGAGGACCACAGTCTGGACCTCTGTGTGCTTTGTCCTCTGAAACAGAACAGCGCCACCTCCCTGGCAGCTTAGAGGAGGGCATGTGGGTCCTTACTCAGCCCTTACTTTGAGGCACAGAATCCTGTCCCATGGCTATGCGTGCTTCTATCTGAGAAAGCCAAGGTAATATCTGTTTGAATATGAAGCTGTTATGTTCATCTACATGTTGTATTATGAGTGAAGGGGCTGAAGAAACACTAATTGGACTACTTGGAATTTTGCAGATTAGTATTTGCTTAAGCCTGATAGAAAATAGGACAGACTGCATAGGAAAAACCTGGTTAATTTCAAATTAAGGTATTTGGGGTTAATAATAAGAGGAAATTAAAGATAATTAAATAAATTAAACATAATAGTAGCAGATGTCCTTTATTCAGTATGTGAAGGATTCAGAGAGGAGGAAATTGTGAGTGTGTGTGTGTGTGTGTATATGCCACAATGGTGTCTTTTTAAATACTTATTCCCACACTCCTGCTTTCCTAACTTGCCAATATGAGCTAATGGAGCATGCATAGAATAAAAGACTATGCATATGAATGTGATGAGATGCAAATATATTCTTATATGGAGATAACAATGGGATTTATAATTCTTGGTGGGTGTAAGGGAGAAAGGAGTATAATGGGGCTTTCAAGACTTCTGAGTAGGTAAAGGACCTGAGGAGAGTTGCTTATCTTAGTTCCACCCCTGGGTTGTATAAACACATTTTTTTTTTTTTTGCATGCAGACAGCATAAAGTGTGCAAAAATCAATATGGGACATATGAAAAAAATTCCATATTCCACATTATGCAGAAGAAGTAAATACCTGGGAAATTTTTTATTCTAAATAGAAGAACACATTAATGAATGACTTTTGGTTTGCTTTGTTTTCATTGCCATGCACTAAAGCATGCCCTCTATAGCAGAGTTTTTCACAAGAAAAAAACAAATCAAGATGAACTATAGACTGAAAAGTAGGATAATTTGAACATGGAAGTAACTACAGAAAATAGAAACCACAAAAAATAAAACCAACACTTACAATCTTCATTGAAAATAGAAAACAAATGGCACTGCAAGAAATAAACAAATTTGAATTAAATATTCAATTGAATGCAGAAAGGACGGACCTAATTGAATGCAAGAAAGGCTAAACAGATGAAAATAATGTGTGAAATAACTGATAAAGTAGAGCAAGTAAGAAATTCAAAGTCAAATAATACTGTTTCTCAGCAAGAGAACCAGAGACATAAAAAATAGAAAATAATCAAAGATATGGTATAAGAAAACATTTTTAAGATGAAAAGGGCATAATGTTTAGGGCATATTACCTATTATGTTTATATTCTTTATATTACATGAAAGAAAACAAAATAAATCTATCCCCAAATGAATTTTACAAATATTTTGAATCTCAACAATTAAAGAAATAATCTTTCTACAATATGGAGAGAGGAAAATGTTCCTTACAAAGGAACAAAAGTCAGGATTGCTTTCTGCTTCCTCTTCATTACAACATGGCCAGAAAATAATTGGTCGGAGTCCATAGTGTTTGAGGAGAACTAACGCAAAAGCTAACACTTATGTTAACACAGACTGAAATACCCAGTCAAAAACACATATGTACAAAGACAGAATTTTTTTAATATGTGAAAAATACCTACTCTACCTGAATGAGAGATGAGTAAAGAAGAGATGAATACACAAGAAGTGAATTTAAATTAAGAATTTAAGAAAAAGAAAGATTTCATTTGAAATGAATAACAATGAGTATCAATGATAAGTAACATAGTAAACTTCTCCAAGTATCTACTTATATATGATTATGAAATCAAATGTAAAAGCTAAGAATAATATTCCAAAAATTGAGCATATGCAAATAAAATGTAATTGAACAATACAAATATGGTTTATAATTTCAGATAAAGCTTCAAAGAACAAGTGTGGAAGATTCAGCACAATTATGCCAACTTAATTAGGTCTACCCTGAATACCTTATTTTTAAAGTTACAACTTTCTCCTCTTCCTTTGGTATTCCCGGTCTTCCTTACCCGAGCATTCCTTTTTTCTTTTTCCATGACATTTAACACCTTCTAAAGTTATATATAAGTTGTTTATTATGTTCATTAATATGTCCTAAATGCCTAGTGTAGTACTTGGAGCCCAGAAGGAGATCAATAAATATTTGTTGGACAAATAAAATTCCATGTCATCATGCAAAGAGGCACACATCATTGAATGACTGCTTATATTAGGTTGGGGCAAAAGTAATTGTGGTTCTTGCCATTACTTTTAATGGAAAAACCACAATTACTTTTGCACCAACCTAATAATTAGAAAACCATGAGTGATAGCATGCTTTTAAAAATCTCACAAGCAAGTAGAGGTAGAATATAAAATGGTTGACAACTTCTGAACTACTTTGATGAATAAAGTCAAACAGAGACTTTTTCAAAAGATATAACAAAAAAATGAAGATCAAACTTACCAGTTATCAGCAGTAAATTCAATTTTAGTTTAATATTTCTTGGTGCAAAAAGCAGGAGTCAGAATTGCAAGAAAATATTCTTAGAAACACAATTATTGTGAAAATTTTGATATATTACTATTAAACTATTGGATCAAATAGATAATACTCATTTAAGAGTAGAAAGGATTGAACATAAATATATGAATTTTATATGTTAATGGAAGAGACTATGTCTTTATAAATGCCAATTTTTATTTTTAATTATATATCAGAGAAAAGAAAACCTCTATAAAATATTAAAATGTAAAAATTTTTAGATTATATTTTCTTCAATTGGAACAAAATGACGATGAGGATTTTTAAAGATAATATTTTTCCAATAAAACTACTTATTTAAGTAACAATGGGAATTAGAAATACATTTTTAAATGTACACTGCAAATGACATATAGATTTAGGAAATAACTATGATTTTCTAATAAATTTAAAATTTCAGTGAAAGAGATTTTTTTCTTTAAAAAAGGTGAATTATTTTCAATATAAGAAAGAACATCTGTGGCTCATGCATGTAAACTGAACTGGGACATAAATGTTGGAAAGTTAGTCAATAAATGTATTTTGTGCTAGCACACAAAGATAAAATTTAATTTTAATTCTAGTAAAAGTTTCCAAAATTTCAACTAAGAAAGAATACAATCTAATTAAGATTTATAGTTTTATATTATATATAAACAATATATAATAGTTTATAATTATTTATAGACCACATTATTTCCATCAGAGGAACCACAGACTATCAATCAAAAATCTAATAGAATATTGTAAAGCAGTTGTTGCATATAAATACAATAAAATGAAATGGCTTTATTATATAGTAGTAACAACTTGTTAACAAATAAAATGGAAAAAAATACTTGTTGGCAAGGATTAATGATTTATGATTGATGAGACTTGATTCCTCTTAATAACTAGGAGGTATAATATCAAACAAAGTTGGAATAAACTACAAATTGCAGGAATAAATTATTTGGTTGATCCTTTGTGTCTAAAGCTGGTATCTGACTTTTTTGTTGCTGTGGTTGATGAGTCAGTCATCTTGAGTGGCCTAACATTTCTATACTAACTTTCCTTTTGATACTGCAGTTGTTCAAATGAATTGCTTTATAATTCTTAGGCAAAATGAGGGGGAGCTTGACCCTACCTACTTCTTCACGTAATTATTTCCATCTCAACCACGCAAATAAAAGTGGCAATGAAAAGGAACAAACCACTGTTACATGTAGCAATATGGATGAATATCAAAAACGTTATGATGAACAAAAGAAGTCAGACACAAAGCAGTATATATTACACCATTTCATGAGTATGAGATTCAGGAACAAGCAAAACTAGTTGTATGCTATGGTCAGAGAAATCAGAACAGCAATGCCTTCAGAGATAATGGGGAATTGATTAGAAATGAGCATAACAGGGCTGGGCGTGGTGGCTCACGCTTGTAATCTCAGCACTTTGGGAGACCGAGGCGGGTGGATCACCTGAGGTCTGGAGTTTGAGACCAGCCTGACCCCATCCCTAGTAAAAATACAAAAATTAGCTAGGTGTAGTGGCAGGCACCTGCAGTCCCAGCTATTTGGGAGGCTGAGACAGGAGAATTCTTGAACCCGGCAGGCAGAGGTTGCAGTGAGCCGAGATTGTGCCTCTGCACTCCAGCCTGGGCAACAGAGCAAGACTCCATTTCAAAAAAAAAAAAAAAAAGGAAAGAAAGCATAAGAGAACTTTATGGGTGGTGAAAACATTCTATGTCTTGATTGGGGTAGTGGTTACATAGTTGTATATTTTTGTCAAACTCTGAACTATATGGTTAAAGGGGTACAGTTTCTTGTATGTAAATTATACTTCTATAAACTATCTCAATAAAGAATACACTTAAAAAAATCTGATTAATATGATCCAAAATATTACATAGTTCAACTCTAAAATGTAAAAATTCTAAAGAAATTAATAGCAGTTTTATTAAAATAAGGAACAAGGGAATTAATTGCATCGCTATGTTTTATGGACATTCTAGCCTCCTGTAATAACTATATTATAATTAATACTCTTGCAACAACAGCAATGACTATAAAACACATCTAGTCGGCCGGGTGTGGTGGCTCACACCTGTAATCCCAGCACTTTGGGAGGCTCAGCAGGGCTGATCACGAGGTCAGGCGATTGAGACCGTCCTGGCTAACACGGTGAAACCCCGTCTCTACTAAAAATACAAAAAATTAGCCAGACGTGGTGGTGGGTGCCTGTATCAGGAGGCTGAGGCGGGAGAATGGCGTGAACCTAGGAGGAAGAGCTTGCAGTGAGCCGAGATCGCGCCACTGCACTCCAGCCTGGGGGACAGAGCGAGACTCAGTCTCAAAAACAAAACAAAACAAAACAAAAACACATCTAGTCATAAACTTAATAAAAAAAGAAACATGTAAGACAGAAATCATCAAACTTTACTAGCAGGCATGAAATAAGATCTACATAAAAGGAATGGCATACCACACTCCTAAATGAGAATACTCAGTAATGTAAATATAGCTATTTGCCCTAAATTAATTGTATAAACTTACCATCATTCTGATCAAATTCCAAATGGTATTTACATGTGGACATTGGCAAAATGTTTCTAAATTTCATATTTAAAATAATTA